CCATCTTATATCCATGCAAAGGAATTCTATTCAACAATAAATAAAAGAACAGATTACTCTTTAACATAAAAACATGGACTCATTTTGCTAAATGAAATAACTCATGCAAAAAGAACTCATGTTGTATGATTCTATTTGTATGACATTTTGGAAAAGCAATAGTGCAAAGGTAGAAAATAGATTAGTGATTGCTTTGCTGGATTGTGAGAGGACTTGATTTACAGAGTTAGCACGGGGAAAATTTCAGAGGGATGGAACTGTCCTGTGTGTTCCTGTGATGGTAGATACATGACTCTGATACTTGTCAAGTCCCTCAGAAATGAACACTGAGTTTTATAGTATGGAAATTAAAAAAAAAAAAAAAACAACAACAGTGATGCCAGAGGGAAGGGGGTGGAATCCAACAGGGGGTGCAGACTCTGACGAATGAATCTACTTGTATTATATATTAAAGTCACACTGAAGGTTTAGGGGAGAATAGAACTTTGGAAAACAGTTGTTTTGTCTTGATTCTATAAGGCTAAAGACCAAAAAAAAAAGGAACTGTAAATAAACATTATGTTGGTCCCCTCTCAACCCTCTAGCCACACACACGTTTGTGTGTGTGTGCACGTGCGCACAGGTGCACTCAGTCATGTCTGATTCTTTGCAACCCCATTGACTGTAGCCCAACAGGCTCCTCTGTCCATGGAATTTTCCAGGCAAGAATACTGAAGTGGGTTGCCATTGCCTACTCCAGGGAATCTTCCTGACCTAGGGATGTAAGCAATTCTGAAAACACTTGAACAATAACTAAATGGGGGTCGGGAACTGAGGGTTTGGGAGTGTGAGTTTGCTGGATCTTGTTTGCGTTTTGTTTGAAAGTGGTGGGTCATATGCTTGCTTAGAGAACCAGTAAAGAAAAGGTCTAGGAAAAGAGTGGGACTGAGTGCTAGTGTAGTCCTTGAAGGGATAAAGAGAAAGAAGCAAGGAGCTGAGTTAGAGACTTGGCCTTGAACAGAAGTAAAGGCTCATATTCTAAAGCTGTGACAGGATGAAATTAAGTCAGAGAGAAGACAGAAAGCTTTAAGAGGCAGAAATCAGGAAGCTCATGCCTATTGACCACGATCCATTCAATAAACTAGAAGAAAACACATCTCTGAAAATGAATAGATTGATGACCTGTCCAGCATGGCACAGTGTTTATTGAAGAGATATAACCCATGAGGTAAGACTAATAAAGTCTTCTATTGAATCTTCTGGGAAAGACAATGAATTTCATTTGAATATCTATGAAAGTATCTGTCCACTATAGCAAAAACAAAGACCTTTTTATTGTTTAAGATTTAATTTATTCAGTGACTTTGGCTTGCTTGACATTTTTAATGCAAGTGTTTAAATCACCTTTAACATTGAAAACAAAGGAGCAACACTGCAAATGTTCAGGCCCACCGTACTTGGGGAGTATTAAATAAAACAGAGCACCAGATAAGTTTCAAGTATTCTTGTATGATATTTTAATCTTGAATATTCAGTGTTTTCTAATGGTGAGCTTCTTAAAGAGGATGTAGAGGATGCATTAGTTCAAGAAAAGGAAGCTTAATTGTACAAATGCTGAGCATCTAAATTTACCCAAGACTACCAGAAACTACTTCTTTCAAAGTGGAAAGGTATAATATAACCCGATGTATATGAATCAGATATTGAAATGACAACTCCAGATTTGGAAAGAGATCCGGTCCTCTTAATAACAGCAACAAAAATCTCACATTAGCAACCTACAGATGTTGGCCACCAATGAAATACAAAACACTAATAGAGTCCCAGTACAATTCTATCTTCTTCCCTTCATTAGCTAATTAATAACCAGTTGATATGCCTCTCATGCAAGCATTTACCAAACCAATTTCAGTGGCATTCTCTGTGGACACAGGGTTAAATAGTGTGGAACTGTGGTAGTTGTGAGTTCTACTGTACAATTTGCTCAAGATTGTGTAAAACCACAGTCTAATTCAAAGAGCATTTTAATTTTCTTTAATTGTCTGGTCAATATTAAGCCTACTTTACTTCCAAATTGTTTATTAAGTCCAATAACCAGAGAGTTTCAGTGGAATCTACTTAGAGTATATGCTAATTTCATATAACAATATAAAATGCAATTCTAATACATACCAATTAAGACATGGGTTGCTAAATTAAGTATTCTCAAGAATGCTGATTCATTTTCATGAATCTAAATCTCTCTACATACAATTCAGCTAAATTTTCTATTAAAAAATACCGTATTTTGGTCACAAAACCAAAAATTAATACTGCTCAGTTCATCTTTCTAAAAATGTCTGTTTTTTAAGTGTTGCATTCTTTAATATACATATTTAAAAGAACATCCTTAAGGATATAAATAAGATTGTGTAGGGACAATTAGCAGCTTGAATTTTTTAATATAACATAATTTAAATACAATGTCTACATGATATTTTTCTCAGTTAATTATAAAGGACAACAGCTCGATTTTTAAAATACATGCTCTTATATTTAAGCACTAACAGATAGAGCAATCCATTGAATATTTCCTGTAATAAATGAAAATATTGTTCTAATCTATTTTTTTTTAGTAATATATTTTCAAAACCATTTTCAATACATACACGTGTCTGTTTCCTAGACACTAGGTGGTATTTATTTCAATTTCTATGAAAGTCAAGTATCAGCAGGTCATGCCATCTCTCATCCATCTTCCATCCACCAATCTTTTGTCTCCTTAAAATGGAGTCCAATTTCTGAATTTCTGCCAGTTTAGAATTCCTGTTATCTATTTCCCTAGTCTGTGCTCTTCCTTCAGTCACGTATACTGCAACATCTATAGGTTACATGATGCCCAGCAAGTCTAGCGCCATGCCCTAGTGGATCTAGCTAGTTGCAGAAGCTCCTGCTGATCTGGTACCCTACTCTGCCAGCCAAATCCACAACTGGCAAGTTCTCTTATTCTCTTACAGAGTCCAAGCTTGTATTGCTTACTGCATGACAGGCCAATCAATCAAGAAATGAGATGTGGGGCAAGGAATCGTGATTTTATTTAGAAAACTAGTAAACCAAGGCAATGGTGGACTAGTGTCCCAAAGAACCATCTTGTCTAGGTGTTGACACTGGTTTTCTTTTGTAGAGGGAGATGAGGATAAAAAAGAAGGTGGTGAGGAATACTTGTTCCAGCCAGACTCTGGTGGGGATATGTTAATTTCTTCTTTCGTGCAGCCATTCACAGGTGGACCTCATCAGGATGTTTTCTGTGAGCTTAAACAAAGGAATTTAGCTTCACGGGAGGCAGGTTTCCTGGAGTTGGGCCATTATGTACATTTTAGGTTGTAGGCAGCATCCCTTCCTCTTCAGTGATTCACTTGTAGCAAAAGCAATAGAATACCAAGGCTAAAGTAAAAAAAAAGAAAAAATAGATCCGATATGGAGTCAGATTGATTCTTCCCTGATAACAGTTCTACTTAGCTTAGACATTGGTGGACTTCTGTAATTATTAAAATGAAACTAAATTCTCATGAATTATAAAACTTCATGAGAATTTTAACATTCATAAAAGATGATAAAGACATAACTATACAAGGCAACGAGGCTTTTGGTTATAGGGCCACTATGGTAGGAAGAAGACAAGTAAAAGAAGCATGGGAATTTATAAACTATTATCTAAAGCAGAGTCTTTGAGAGTCATTGTAGATAGTACTTTGCTAAGTACCAGCCTGAACATGAGTTGTCACTATTTAGGAAACTAAAACCAAAATCTATTTCTTGAACAAGCAGTTGTCAGGATTTTCCATCAGGTAGCCAAAAGGTGATAATTATTACTCATGGAGAAGATTAAAATTTCAAGGTTTTTGCATACCTGTGATTATTTTGTTATATTGTTTGAAGGCATATCTCCTACAGTTTTGCAGCAGTTATCAAATGGAGAAGAACAAAAAACAAAACAAAACAAAACAAAAAAACCCTGACTAGCTCTTGTATATGTTGCTCCCAGTGCGAAGTCTTATTTTAGAGCAGTCTGTTTGAAGTACTGTATCTCTTTTGCAGGAAATGTGTGTCTCTGCTGTAAAGGTTGATATTGAGATTTTGTTTCTATGGAACTGAAATTCAAGGATGTCACATATGGTAAATAGAGCATATGTTTCAAAGTCTAATTTGTCAGACTTAGAATTAGCCAATTATGTGTTGACTCTGTGGGAGAAACAAGTGACCTCATACTCAGTTACAGTTATAATTGTATGGAATCCATATGAGTAAGATTAGGATGTAAATTTATAGGGTAAAATCCTATGTAAATGGAAAATTTGCATGTTTAGAAGTAAGCTCTAGCATCTGTAAAAGCCAAACTTAATGATGGTTATTACAATGCTTTTAGCTACTTTTGAGGAAAAAACACTTAGCATCTTGCTCCACGCTATATTTGTAACTCATGTGAAGATCAAGAGCATGAGTATCCATTTCATTGTTTTAACTAACATGTTGTTATTTTCTCTGCATCTAGGTTGCCACAGACAATGGAAATTTTCAGGGTGCAAAGGGTATATCAAAATTTTACATTTTTACTTTTTCTTGGTATTTTTAGTACTTTGGAAAAGTACTGATCGTTCAGTATGTTAATGTAAATTAAAGGTATAGAATTATAGTGTCCAATGCTGAATGAGTTATGTATGACTATGTATAAATTTAAGTCATTTATTAGACCAATTATTTCTTATCTCACAATAGGACACAGCAGTGACATTTTAACACATCAAGCCTCTAGGCCCTGTTCTCACAGGAGATTTTTCCCTGATCACTGTAATCTTCACGCTTAATGGATTTTCCTTATAAAAACTGTCCTGTCTCATGGCATGAATAAGAGTTTACATTATTTAATAGTTTTCCACCAATCCTTTTTTAACTTGTCTTACTGCAAAAGTACTCATCTTGAGAAATCACAGTGGAAAAAAAGACATCTTAAAACTTATTTTGAAGGTTATAGTATTGGAGGAGGAGGAGACACTGATGTAACTTCTCTTGGTGTCCCTTTCTTTGTAACTGGACAGGTATCATTGGCTTGCGGTCTGCAGATAGGAAAAGAAAGTTCTGAATTATGATTGTCACTTAAAACAAATATATTCCATAGGCCATTAAGAGATTAAGAAATGCTGCATTTGATTTCCTTGATGTGTTCAAGAGAGGTATGATAGATTCATTAAAGAATGATTATCATCATAGTCATAATCATAATCATAAGTGACCATCTTTGTAAAGTGATTTATTACTGACCAAGATTTTATCTAGATGCTTGCATTTGCTTTTACAGGCAAGTGACTATCATATTGACCAGAAAGCCCAGAGTTTTCTCTTAGAGTTGAATTTTACTATATATAAATGCATAAATATATATATAATATAAAATATATATAAATGCATAGTATTGTGTCTATGTCTTGGAATGTTTTGGTTAAAGGACAGTTTTGTTCATCTCTCACAATTTGGGGCTTCCCTGATAGCTCAGTTAGTAAAGAGTCCACCTGCAATGCAGGAGACCCCAGTTCAATTCCTGGGTTGGGAAGATCCGCTGGAGAAGGTATAGGCTACCCACTTCAGTATTCTTGGGCTGTCCTTGTGGCTCAGCTGGTAAAGAATCTGCCTGCGATGCGGGAGATCTGGGTTTGATCTCTGGATTGGGAATATCCCCTGGAGAAGGGAAACACTACCCACTCCAGTATTCTGGCCTGGAGATTTCCATGGACTATACAAGTCCATGGAGTTGTAAAGAGTTGGACTAACTGAGCAACTTCACAATATAAATTTGATCCTTTTAACATTTTCTTTTTTGTGCTTTATTTCACTTTCTTACAGTTGACTTTGAGGGCACTTATTGACTTATTCAATGTTATTATTTCTGTCAGTTTGTTCTGTATATAAAGGATTACATTTAATTAAATTTAACTAAATGATAGCATTTTTGTCCAGAGTAAGATTTGGGATATTTTAATGAAGAAAGTTTTCCTGTCAGTATCTTTTCAGAGAAGAGGGGCTCCACTGGTAAATTGTATGAGTGTTTAAGGGAAATACTCAATTTTCTAAATCAGCTGCGAAAAATACTTTCTTAAATGAAATTATTTTGTGCTGGCAAGGACTCCCTAAACAAAGAAGAATGATTCTGTTTTTCCTGCAGAAAACCACATGATGTGAACAAGGGGTCTCTCATAACCTATGCTAATAAAGAGCTTAATACTTTAAAGTAGCCTTTGGCTAGTGAAGCATTCCTGCAACACAGGCATCCTTCGGAGAATCATAAAGTATTTCTTTCAAGTGTTAACAAGGTCAACTGGTACTTATAATATGTATAATATGCTCAATCAAATCATTCTTTTCAAAGTTCTCTAAGTCCAGAATTTTATTTTCATTTAATTCTAAAGATTATATCACATTGACTTTAAATTTTAACACTTTCTCAAAGATATTTTTTAAATAACATTTTAAACTAAAATTGCTCAGATTTATCTTGAGATATGTCAGTGGTGATGCTGAGGCATTCTATGTTTAAGGACATACATACACATTAAAGTTTGTGAAACTATAGAATGAAATCATATTGATAACAGTAATTAATGCATTATAGCCTTATTTCATATTGTCACCCAGCAGTTAATGCATTATCTAGCCAGATTTACAGGGCTTTAAACAAAAGTGAAAAAGGTCTCCCTAAAGTGTAAGCCTGTCCCCCAGGAAGGAAGATGAGTCTCTATATACACACGAATAGTTCAGCAAATGCAATATGTGTACACTGTACACTGGGAGGCCACATTTCCCAAAGGTATGTCATAATCACATTGAGCACTATTTCAAAGTTAATAACAACAACCACAAGCATATAACCTTTCTAAGTTTTTCTAATACTTTCTAAGTATTACATCACAAATATTATGAAGGTAGGCATTTAGAAAATGTATTCTAGAGCAAGATCCTGGGCACCTATGAAAAACTGCTTGGAATTTATTTTAATACATTAGCTAAAATCCCTTTGTCCTGTTGGACTGATGAGCTCTTCATTAGTGGAAAAACAACTACTTGTATCCTGTTTAGTTTTTTTTGTCCTAGACTCAGATCTTTATATTTCACTTAAGATTATTGTATACAAAAATATTCTTCCAGAGACTGAAAAATCACAAGACAATGATACTTACTTTCATCACTTCTATTCAAGATAGTGCTAGAATCCCTAATCATCTTTCTAGGCAAGCAAAAAGAATAACAGATACATAAATAGAAAATGAAGAGGTAAAATGATCTATTAGCAAAGATATGATTTTAAATGTGGAATACCCACAAGAGTACACACACACACACAAAAACTATTAGAATAAATTAATTCAGCATAGTTGCAGACAAAAATAATACTTAAAATATAAAATACTTAAAATATAAAATATAAAATCAGTAGACAAAAATCAATATCTTTAGATGCTAAAAATGAATGACATAACAAGGAAACTAAGAAAATTTCATTTGCAATATAATCAAAAAGAATAAAATACTTAGGAATAAAGTTATCCAAGAAAGTAAAAAAATTACACAGTGAAAACAACATGTTACTGAAAGAAATGATAGACACAAATAAATAGAAATTCACCTTGTGTATACAGACTGAAATACTTAATATTAAAATATCAGAATTAACAACAGTAATCCACAGATTCAAAATGCAATCTCTATCAAAATTCCACTTGTGTTTATTGCAGAAATAGAAAAATTCATCATAAAATTCATGGACTCTCAAAAGGCCCCAAATGGCCAAAACAATTTGAAAAAGAACACAGTTGGTGGTCTCACGTTTCTGGATTTCAAAACTTATTACAGAACTACATTAACCAAAACAGTATGATTCTGGTATAAAGACAAACATATGTCAATGCAGGAACCACAGGAGATGCAGATTCGATCTCTGGGTAGAGGTGATCCCTTGGAGGGAGAAACGACAACCCACTCCAGCATTCTTGCCTGAATGATCCCAGGGATGGAGAAGTTTGGGGGTCTATAGTCCTTTCTGTCATAAAGAGTCAGACACGACTGAGCAGCCATGCACACAGCTTCATAGACCAATTAAATAGAATAGAGAGCCCAGAAATAAGCCATAACGTATCATCAAACAATTTTCAACAGGGTCCCAAGGTGATTCAATGAAGAAGGGAAGTCTTTTCAACAAATGGTGTTGGGAAAACTGGATCAGTTCAGTTCAGTCCCTTAGTCATGTACAACTCTTTGTGACCCTATGGACTGCAGCACGCCAGGCCTCCCTGTCTATCACCAACTCCCGGAGCTTGCTCAAATTCAAGGCCGTTGAGTCGGTGATGTCATCCAACCATCTCATCCTCTGTCATCCTCTTCTTCTCCTGCCTTCAATCTTTCCCACCATCAGGGTCTTTTCCAGTGAGTCAGTTCTTTGCATCAGGTGGCCAAAGTATTGGAGTTTCAGCTTCAACATCAGTCCTTCCAATGAATATTCAGGGCTGATTTCCTTTAGGATTGACTGGTTGGATCTCCTTGCAGTTCAAGAGACTCTCAAGAGTCTTTTCCAACACCACTGCTCAAAAGCATCGATTCTTCGGCACTCAGCTTTCTTTATAGCCCAAATCTCACATTCATACATGACTAATGGAAAAACCATAGCACTGACTTGATGAACCTCTGTTGATAAAGTAATGTCTCTGCTTTTTAATAAGCTGTCTAGGTTGGTCGTAACTTTTCTTCCAAGGAGCAAGCATCTNACCTCTGTTGGCAAAGTAATGTCTCTGCTTTTTAATAAGCTGTCTAGGTTGGTCGTAACTTTTCTTCCAAGGAGCAAGCATCTCTTAATTTCATGGCTGCAGTCACCATCTGCAATGATTTTGGAGCCCAAGAATATTAAGTCTTTCACTATTTCCACTGTATCCCCATCTATTTGCCACGAAGTGATGCCATGATCTTTGTTTTTTGAATGCTAAGTTTTAAGTCAGCTTTTTAACTTTCCTCTTTCAATTTCATCAAGACCTTTAGTTCTTCGCTTTCTGCCATAAGAATGGTGTTATCTGTGTATCTGAGGTTACTGATATTTTTCCCAGCAATCTTGATCCCAGCTTGTGCTTCATCCAGCCTGGCATTTCACATGATGTACTCTGAGGATAAGTTAAATAAGGAGGGTGACAATATACAGCCTTGATGTATGTTGAAAACTGGATATCCGTGTGCAACAGAATAAAGATGGACCCTTACACCATTTACAAAAATTGGCTTTAAATGAATATTTTAAAAGTGCAAACTATTAGTCTGAAATAAAGTGTAAAAATATTAAGCAGTCTAAGCATAAAAGATAAAGTTATAATAAGCCTAGTTAACATCTGCAGTGATACAAAGATATTATATAATTATTGACTGTATTTCCCACATTGTACATTTCATACCCATGACTTGTTTATATTGTAACTGGAAGTTTGAACGTCTTAATCTGTCTCACCTATTTCTCTCTTCCCCCTATCCCTCTCCTCTCTGGCCACCACCTGTTTGTTCTCTGTATTTATAACTCTGTTTCTGTTTTGTTATGTTTGTTCATTTGCTCTGTTATTTAGATTATGCATACAGTATTTGAAATCATACAGCATTTATCTTTAACTGACTGACTGACTTTACTTAGTATAATAGCCCTAGGTCTTTCCAAAAGGTAAGATTTCCTTTTCTTATGATTGAGTATTATTTCACTGTGTCTGTGTGTATGTGTATGCACAGACACACACACACACCATTCCAACACACACATATATCATATCTTCCTTATCCATTTATCTTTTGATGGGCACTTAAGGTTGTTTCCATATCTTGGCTATTAATAATGTACCAATAAACCTAGGGTGCATATATGTTTTCTAATTACTGTTTTTGCTTTCTCTGGCTGAATATGCAGCAGTAGAAATGGTGAATCTCATTTTCTTTTTATATTTTTGAGGAACCTCTATACTGCTTTCCAAAGTGGCTACACCAATTTATATTCCCACCAACGGTGCACAAGAGTTTCCTTTTCCCACATCCTCACCAACAC